CCTTTTTTATTTGTTTTTTGTATCTTTCTCATATTCAGAGGTGGAGAGATATTGAATATTCTTACGGTTGATGCAAATTGGAATATGGGAAAGATACAAAAAACAAATAAAAATAAAAATGGAGTCGTTGCTTATGGAACATCCTTTATGTCAGAATACTGTTCATTCAAATCACCCTACAATTATAGCAAGACAGGTAAATATTTTAGAACACTTTCGTATTATAATAAAGTACTTATAATCTACTCGGAAACTCTTCTTAGTAAACATCCTGATTTGGTTTTAGTTTTCAATAGTATTCATTTAATGTATAATAAAATAATAGAAATATACAAAAATGCTTTTGTTTATGAAACATCCTCTTGATATAAGACAACATTTACGATCTATAAATCATTCGAATATTAAGCGAATACAAAGACAATATCAGGAATATTGGAAAAAGAAAAATCACAAACGATTTCGGCTTTTTTTTTATCATAAATAAAATTGTAATAGAAAATTTAAATGTAGTTTAAAGGCTATCGAATGTATATGAGTATAGAAAATCTGTATTTTTAGCAATACAAATCGGCAATATCATCCGATATAATAATTGTTAATATTGGTACCATTGATGCGAAAGTTTGTTTGAGTAAAGCATATCTATGTAATCTTAATCTCCATTGTCTTGCACATCTACAATAAATTGTACCAATAGTTTAAGTAAACCAAATAAAACTAACTTATTTTGTCAAAGCTGAGACTTAGTCAATTAATTTTTACTCTAAATCATATTCATTCTATTCTTAGGGGTTTGCTTTTATCTCTCAAAGAAATTTCATTTAAATCATACCATAGAGATCGCCAGTTTCATATACATATTTTCGTCAATCTATCTCTTGATTGGTAGATTTCAATCAAGCAATGTCTGCTTCTCCTCATGTTAAAAATCTAAACAAGAAAAATAAAAAAAACTTGTGTCTCATATTATATTGAGATAAGTCTAAAAAAATCGAACAAATGACTGCACTAGTTACAACAGTAGCAACCATAGCAACACCAGCAACAACACCTTTTACACCTGTAGAACATTTCTTTTCAATAGCCCATCAATTATTTGATCAATATCGTACAGCTATTTTCGTACTCACTGGAACAGGTATTATATTTTTCTCTTTATCATATTCTTACTAACTGATGTTTTGCTTTTTTAGTGATAACAGCATGGTTATACAATAAATTATGGGTGAATCGAAAAATGTATCCAAGTACGCAATCAATGGAAGGCAAAACTGTCGTTATTACGGGTGGTAATGCTGGTATTGGTTATGAAACAGCTAAAGATCTTCTTCAACGAGGTTGGAATTGGAGTGATCTTTTTTTCCTACTAAATATTCTATTGCTATTTTGAGATTATCTATAGGTGCTCGAGTTATTATCGCTTGTCGTAATATGGATAAAGGTAGTCAAGCTATTCGACAATTATATTTCGAAACAGAATGTGAAGAAAAAAATCTTCGATTAATGAAATGTGATTTATGTTCATTTGAATCTGTTCGTAATTTTGCTGATTTATATAATAGTGAAGAAGAAAGACTTGATATGTTAATATGTAATGCTGGTCTTATATGGTCACAATATGCAGTTACAAAAGATGGATTTAATTCTATTATTCAAGCTAATTATCTTGGTCATTTTTTGTTAACAAATCTACTTTTAGATAAATTAAAAAAAATGTCGTCCAAGTCGAATTATTAATGTTTCATCGAGTGAATATAAAAGTTTGTATTAAAATTATTTAAATATATTTTATGTTATTTTTTTTTTGTTTAATATAGGAGTTCAATCAATTGATTGGTTTGATGTATTTACACAATTTAAAAATTTTCATCTATTAGGTGTATATGCATCATCAAAAGTATATCAGATATTATCAACTAATAAATTAAAACAAGATTTACTTGGTAATCAACTTGAATATTTTCTATTTCTTTTCTTATTTTAATCATTTTTCATTTAGCGGAAGGTGTTAATGCATTTTCAGTACAACTTGGTTGGATTCGGACATCTATTATGTCACCAATGCGAGAAGCTATTGGAATTTATCGATTTATTATTATCTATCCAATATTACATTTGCTAGCTGTCTTTACTAAAACACCGAAGATTGGTGCACGAACAACTATTTATTGTGCGGTCGAACCTTCACTTGAACATTCACCAGATCTCTCTTTTCAGTATGTATCTTTCATTCACAAAGAATAAAGTGCCGGCAATTCGAAATTTAATCAAATCTGGATGGATAAAGAAAAGATCAACAATCGCAATCACATCCACACTCAAATCATATATACGAGTTTGTATTTGAAGATTTTAACCATCAAAACTTCAGTTCGAAAAAGAAATGAATCAGCATAAATATCTGCGTCGAATAGTATACTTAATAAAGGGGGGGAAGGGGGGTCGAAAGTTGGAAAAGAGTCAGCAGTAATGTATTAGAAACAAAATTTTGTGTTCTTTTAGAATGTATGCTTAGAATTTTTCTATGACTTTTAACTATTGAACTATTAATAAATCTTGACAGGATACAAAAGAAAAATTTCTGGAGAAGCAAAAATCTTTTTTTTTCTCTGAAGACAAGTCTACATCAAATAAGTTCTGTAAATATAATATACTTCAGAGTGATCTCTACTCTATAAAATAACGCAAGAATAGAAATTTTCAGTTAACTCACTAAAAAATGACCAAGTTGTGACGTAGGATTATTTCGCGCTGAAAAGACGAAAATCGAAAAAAAAATAACTATTTTTCTTGCGATAGACTTCATAAAAGCGTTTACTGCACATCAACAATTTGCAAAAAGGATGTACGGCTTTGTGGAGAATTTTTTTAAAAGCCAAAGAAAAAAATGTTCTCGTTGTTGAGTTCTACCTAAACATGAGTTGAAAAATGCAGTAAACTTTTCTATAAAGACTCATGGGAGACGGATCCTTATAGGCTTTTCCTAGCCTCATCGGGACCTCCTTCTAGTTCTAATATAAGCTTAAACAGTGAGTCTCAATTTGGGTAATACATTATTTCTCACTCTTTTTCAATGCAATTAAATACATGAAAAAAAACGAAAAATTTTATCTAAAAGGTTTGGATCCATCTCTTATTAAGTATACAAATCGATGCTGATTTTGCATATGAGATTCATTTATTTCGAAAGTGAAGTTCTGATGGTTAAAATCTTCGAATACAAACTCGTATTTACTATTTTTTTTCTTTTCATATCGAAAAAAATCGATTTTCTTAACAAGCAAACAATATTTTTAGAAATACATACATAAATTTTTTTCTTATCTATATAATTCGAATAAATTTTAAGGCTACCGAGAGTTGATACGTTTGGCACATTTCAATTTTTATTGGCTTTACTTTCCTAAATTTCACTTGAAAAAAAAATATCATCTGAGTATATCAAAAGTAATATTTTAATAGGTAACTCGATGAGTTCTATCCAATCATAGCAAAAAAAAGTTTTGTTCAAATTTTGAATTGCCGATACCTTACGTAAAACAAAAAAACAAAAGATTCTATTTGTGTTATAGAGATTGTGCTGTTGCTAGAACGACTTCATTCTGTACAGATAATAAAACAGCTGATCATTTATGGCAATTAAGTGCTAAAGCAGTTGGATTGAAATAATCTCTATATTCTATTGTAGTATTTTTTTTTAATATTTATAATAAAATAAATTTTGAAGATAATCAAGCGACAGAAAAAAAAACGAAAAATCTATCGTTGCTATGTACTAAAAATAGGTCATAACTTTCTATTCATAACTCGTTTATTATTGTCTATGTTAGTTAATCTTACTATTATCATAATATTACTAAAACATACTTGTTTAAGTGAGTTCTTTTTTTTTATTGTCAAAGTTTAATTTAATTTAATGAATGTAATAAAGATGGACAAGGTGTTCCTTATAATGGTACTTGTACTTTTACTCATGATTGTGCTGATTGGCGTGACGGACGTGTAATATATGATGCGGCAAAGAGATGTACTTGTAGACCGGTTTTTACTAATGCTAATGGGAATGTCTTTTGGAATAGTACAAGCCGTTGTTGTGTTTATTGTCCATGGAAATGTTTTTTTCGAGGTTTCATTGTTGTTTTTTTTTAATGATATTTATTGTTTGTATGTTAGGAACACAATGCCATTATTTTTCTAATGATAAAATGAGTTGGTCAAATGCTAGAGCAAGATGTCGACCCCATTTCATAGCTGATGTACGTTAATGAATTATTTATTTATTTCTATTATAGTTAATTATTTTTAATAATAATATTGATGATTTAAATTGGTTTCGAGTAAATATTATTATGAAACTTATGTTATGAAATATCTTTATATATTTGTAGAAACAGAGATGAAATGAGCGTATTAATGGTTTTTCCTGATACTTGGGATGCTTCTTATTATACTCGATTTTGGTAGATTATTATTTGTAAAATTTTTAAAATAAGATACTTTTGTAATATATATATATCTATAAGATAGGTGCAATGAATGAACCATTTGTTAAATGTAAGTTAATAATAGGGATAAATTTAAAAAAGAATGAAATTTATTCGAGTTGGTGAATTCTCATGAATTAACAATAGAGGATTTAGATTTGATCAAAATAGTTCAATATGGTGTAGACCAAATATTAATGGAGTAGTAAGTAATAGTTTATTGGATTTTTATTAAGTTTTATTCGTTATTAGCCATCTGTAGAGGATCTACAACCATCACAGACTAGCAATAATACAAATGAAACTCGTGTTGCTCTTATTCGGTATCAATGAAAAATATTAAAATTAGAAAGGCAAAAAAGAAATAATAATAATAATAATAATAATAATAATCAATATTCTTTTCATATAGATAGAGATCTTTACGTTATAATAATCAATCTGTTTTCTTTTGGAATGATGAACCATCAGATAAAATATCAGCATTTGGTTGTGAACGAAGTGAGTTTTATTGGGATATAATTATTACATACTTGGAACTGAACCGACCGGTTTTCACCGATTTGTTATTGATTTCTATGGCACCAAAGCTGGTCTATTTTGTTCTTTGCTAACGATTTCTATAGTGAGCTCACATTTTTTTTTCATTGTGCGATATGAGAGCCTCGGGTCGTACTGAATGAATTTATCATGCTCACGAAAATTAATCAGTTATTAGAAGTTAATTTCGGTCAAAATCTTAAGATTTTTTCACTCGAAATTTTTAGCTCACTTTTTCAGACTACTTTTAACTGGTTCTCATAAAACCTCAATAGCTATTATCCATTTCAAAATATAATGTACTCCACTGTTTTTGAATAACTTTTGACAGGAATATCATAGAAATCTGCGGTTTTCACCATTCAAGAGAGAAAATTAACACTTCTAGCTCATTCCGTTCGATAGTTATAAGACCTTTCCTGAGACCTCTGATTTCAACCAATAAATCTATGGTCAACAGGAAAAGTAGTTAGACAGGGGTAATTCTCCATATTGAGTTAAATGATAATACTTGTTTTTAAGTTCGAACTGATTTGACCGTATTATCTCAATATTTCTGAAATTTCACAATCAGTTTCCATATAACCAAGGAGTCAACATTTCAAAGCTATTGAGATAACAATGTCAGATCTGTTTGAACGCAAAACTATACCAAACAGCATGGCGATTTACCTCTGTCTAGCTGCTTTTATGGGTGATCACAGGTCAAATTGACTGAAAACGAAGGTCTCAAAAAAAGTCTTATAACTCTCGAATGGAACAAGCTAGGAATGTCAGCCTTGTGTAGATCAAAAAAGAAGAATTTTTTCTATCGAGTGATTCTATTAAAAGCCTAAATCGAATGAAAAATAGCTTCAGAATATTGTTTTCGGAAATCTCTACCAAGAACTCACCTGATTGATCAATTGCTGACCAATCAAATTTCGATATACTGCGGTGACTTTGAGGGTGTGGGTTTGAGTGTGGGTGTAGGTATGTGGGTGTGGGTGTCGGTGTGGGTGTGACCTTGATTCTTATTTTAATACCGACATGCACACTCACACATCCACATCTATCCCTAGACCCTCACCGACACCCACAGCCCCACACCCACACCCACACGTTGCCTGTTTGTCGATGTTTTGCAGTCCAAAGCTCAAATGTTTGTAAAATGTTCTAAGATTCTGCAGTAGG